TTTTAATCCTGTGTGTCCATTTGTTTTTGCCCCAACTTTTTGGCGTCAACATTTTCTGATTTTCTTTCTATAATTTAGATGCGGAAACGACCGAGCCCGAAGAACCAGTCGAAAAGCCGGCAGAGCCGCCTGTCAAAGGCGGTCTTTATGTCCCAGTATACCTGCGCGCTGGCGGCGCCAAGGTAATCAATCGTCAGGCGCAGCCAGACATTGAAAGCATCGAAGAGTTCCCTACACTGGATGCTGTCCAAGAAAAACCGAAAAAGACCAAGCCCCCAAAAGCTGAAGCGGATGACTCTTGGAACGAAGTTAGCAAAACTTCGCAAGGACATCGGGCTGATGCCTCTTCCCATGCCTATACTCCTCCTGTTTTTCGACAGGGTGCGGAACTTAAACCATTTAAGCCTTCTTCATCCTCCAAATATAGTGAAAACTTGGAGCAGCGGTATGGAGGTGGTGGTGTGGCAGGCCGGGATTCCTTCCAACTGTCCACACAGTCTTGGGTACGTGGTGCGGCACTTCCTGCGTCGTCTCAACCATCTACAGAGCAGACAAGATCTAGTGGCTGGGTCCGCGGAATTCCTCAGAGGTGAGTCTCCTTGATCTACTGAATCCTTCATTAGGCTCTTTGAAAAGATTTAACCGGTTGTATTTTTTCTTCGGCAGCCAGCTGACTGTAAAGCCTATCCAACGGAACCTAACGGACCTTCCTCAGGAAAATCGCTTTGCAAGACTCGGTGATACATGAACCCGAAGACGAAGATTTCTCACCGGGGGCCCAGTGACTTTCGCAGCCTTTTCGCGTACTATGAACCTTGCCTCGAAATTCGCGCGAAATTTGACCGCATGGTGCCATCATTGTACAATTACAGACTTAGGGACCTTCACATTCCTTCCACGTACATACACTGTAAGCATATATCCGCAAGTCTTCAATCCTTTATCTAAAACCCGTGGCAGCCTCAACCTCTGGTCTGTGGTTTTCCCATGTCACCCAGCTCACTAGATTTCTCTTGATATCTCTTCAATGCTTTCACGCCTCCGAGGCTAAGTCAGCTCCCTGCTTATGAGTGATCTCTGTGAAGACAACTTATTTTGTAGCTTGTGTGCATGCTTTTTATGAACATTGCATATAAATGTCTCTGACAGCCTTCGTATTCTAAATGCGTATACTAACACCCGTATAAAAGCTTCGCCTACCGTACATTGTTAGAAGTGTGTAGTTGTGAACTCGTTTTTTTCAATGTTTTTGGAACACAATTGGTTGTTATTTAAAAGAAACAAAGCTCGTGATTAAGCTCGTCGAATTTCGGTCTTCTAGCTGTTAAGTCATGTCGGCTCCCTGGAAGCCACGGCACAATGCCGTGTACAGACGTACTGTCCTATCGAACTTCATCAAGGCAGAGGGCATGGATTGAGACAATAATTACTCCAATAGTTTCGCGTTCAGTTCAGGTAGAATCCCACTTGGTTTGCTGC